CTATTTAAGTTAGAAATTAAAATTATATACATATTATATTTCTAGTATTCGTACATTTTATTCTACTATTCGGATATTGATATTCTTATAGTTTGAAAGCTCGATGAATAAGACAAAATGACAGTAGTTTACAAAAAAAGTTTCAGAAAACAGTTAAACTAAATTATGCCTAACTGCTCAGCCGATTTCATGGCCATCAAAGAATTTCATTAACATACAAGGCTAACAAATAACTGTAACACAACCAAGAGGCGGTTAAAGAACTGTCACAATCATGGAATTTGATCAGACTTACGTGTGCGCATTACGCACAATATCCTTGTTTGCATATTAAGGCCGTCGACCGGTTTGGCCATTGTGAATGAGCTCAGCCCATTTAAAGTGTCGCTGAGGCACTTAATGCGCCCAAGGTCGCTGCCGACTGTTCGCCCTGAAGGCAATCTTAATTACAACCGAAGTTTCAGCGCGTACGCAACCAGAAGAGCCTGTCATTGAGCAACTGTGACAAGCTGAAGACAACTGGCACGTTGTCACTGCGGTGCGGCGGACACTCCCAACTGACTGGCGGCTGACACCCGGATCAGATCTGATATGAGGAAGGCCGCCTGTTCCCACTGAGTCTCAGCCCAGCCCTATCAGCACTAGGCCAAAAATAGAATTTACCAGACAGCACCTCATGCAGTCGTTAATTGCATTCAAACAGCTTCAGCATCAGCAGCAGCGACAAGTGCTGGCATCAGAATCTGCAGCTGCAATTACTTCTACTCGTGTCCTTGAAACTTGGCACAAACAATTCCCGGACTTTGCTGCAGTTATTCAGTGTCGGCCTTGCATCTCTCTGTGTCTGTGGCTTTAGCCTCAGACCTTGACACCAGCTCGTCATTATCTGCACGCCACAGTTTAATTGAGCCGTAAATCCTTTTTCAGGTGAAGCTGCAACGAAATGACTTTCAGACATCACATTTAGCTAAGATCTTCTGTTCGCTTTTTGGCTGGATTGTTCTAGATATTTGCGGACTTTGGAAAAATGTACTGAACAGTCAATAAGAGGCGTGGTCCGCATCAACCCAAAGAATGACCAAGCCTCTAAAGCTTGCGACTTTAAACATTGAATACATGTGTTTTCCTGTGCACATTGCGCAGCTATAAATTTTTTTATAGACAAGGCATTCCATTCATTTATTATCGATAATAATAACTTTGAAGAGATTTCAAATTCAAATATGAAACATATTTTTTGATTTGAAAGCAGACAAGAGCAGTCTTACCTTGAATATATATTTATATTTGACAATACAGTAGAATCCCGCTATAACGATTCCGCTTATAGCGTCTGTTCAGCTATAGCGACGAAAATTCTGGTCCCCAGACAAACTTTTATGAACAAACTTATACGTTTATAGCGCCTTCCGGGTGTAATGACGGTCCCTTGAGCGTCGTCATAGGCGGAGTCTACTGTATATCAATTAATGCCCAAAATATCATACTCAGATTAACCATTTTCAATCCGTTCATAATTGACTAATTGTGATGATGCTTTTGGTAATCTAATAAACTATAACTGCAGTAGGTATACAAGAAAAAAAATCTCGACATTTAAATACTTATACATATATATCCACTTATACATATCACATCATATAAAGAGCTTCAACTGCAAAAGGCCTAAAAACTAAAAGCATAGCTTTCATCCAGTAGCCAGAATATTATGAAATTGGCTCATCTTAGAATCACAATCCATCAATATCAATGTGCCTGGGCTGGGATAACAAATGCCCGTTTAAATTGTCTAGATTATAGTTCGCTATGCCGAGTGTTTAATAAATGACGCACAATCATTATGTAAAGTTAAACTTGATAAATTTACATAATGCGAAAACAAAACCAGAGAAGGAAAGAAACGAAATGAAACAAACAGAAGAGAAATGAAGAGATGAGAAAACCCATAAAAAGCAAATATAATAAACAACAGACGAATGCGTTGATGTAAAAACAAAGGCTGAAGCGCATTGTTTTATTGCCAATTTGATAAGTCTTTCAGTTGCCCAAACTTTGATTTGCCCAACCAATTTGGGGGCACTGAAAAACAAAACTCTGTGCGAGAAATGAGAGTATTCATTACGAAAATAAAGCCATCAAATGTGTTAAAACGGTCAATAAACTTATTGACCGACTTATGCTTATAATGCACACAGAGTCACACACACGCACACATACACACGCGCACGGGCAAGCTGAGATACCTGTATAGCAACGCCCCCTCGCTAGTTTGCCTTCAACGCGGGCAGATTGTGCTCCACTTTCATGGCATTTACTTTCGCTTTTATATACCGCACACACACACACACACACACACACACATACGTGTGTGTGTATGTGTGAATACTAATCGCCGCAATACGAGGCTTTGTTCAAACTATGTCGATGCTTCTGCTGCTCTGCTGCTCTGCTGCAGCTGCTGCTCTGCGGTTTATCTTGATTTAAGCCATCGCAATCGAGCCCAGTCAACCCGATGAACGGTCCAAACGCACAGTTTCTCAACGACCTTGAGACTGTTACCGGTTTCTTTTGGTATGTGTGTGAGTATAATTATGTATGCCCACATATGTGTGTGTGACTGTGACTATCTCTGGCAGCATCGTCTGATTTCACGCTCATCTTCGCCTCTCTAATATGGCATGGGTTGCCTCTAGTTGAGATCATTTGGAATGGTTTTAGGTTTAAATTGAATTATTTACCTATAGCATTGCAGCGAGCGATCTTTGGCCGGCTTTGCGCGGGTTTCACCATCGCTGCGCCTTCCAATTCCGCCCGCCCTACCTTGAGACTTGAGGCAAGCCCATAGTCAGCACAGCAAAGACTTCTAGAGTTTCGACTGTAGTACTCGAAGCTCGTATGAACATGTATCGAGCCATGCTACATCTGATACATACGAATCGTACTACCTATACATAGCCGATGTTGCCTCGGGTAATTAACCTTTCGGTCTACCGTTGCTATAGGGTAAGCTCAGTTGCAGTGACCATCTCTGGCACACGTATGTAAATGAAAGTCGGGCTGTGCTTTGTTTGCTTTAGCTGTTGGCTGGGTCCAGCTGGATATTGATTTGGGCTGTTTCAACAGATGTATGATTTATTAATAAGGCTATGCTAATCGGAGCTGTCAGACGCATGCACACGGCCGCTCTCTAATACACACGCTTGTTTCCTATATATTGTTTTTATTATAGCTCTTAGCCATGGCTAAGTGAGTGTGCATGTGTGTGTGTATTAAAATTAATTTTAACATTCGCGGCGTGTTGCAATGCGATGAAAGCGTCATTTGTTTTGCAAGCTGCTGGCTTTTGCTACTGTTATTGCGCTTGCCACCAATGCAAACTTAGCTGGGGCTGGCCCATTGCCGAAGCGCTGCTCGTTAGCAAGTTCGTTGCCTAAGTCATTTGATTTGTCACATATATACGCACTGGGCGAATTCGAAATTCAGATGATTTTTATACGCACTGCGCGCAAAGTGAAATAAAAAGTGGAATCATCAAATAGACATATACGAGCAAAAATTTAAATTGGTATATATAGCTCAGCTGCCGCTGCATTGAGCGGACGTTCAAGATGACCTAAGCTTGGTTGTTCAACCAATCATTAGTATTTACATTTGCCAAACTGTTCAACTCTTGACTTTCCGTCGCATTAGACCCCACTTGGTGTATTAATTAATCAATAGCATTCACTTGACATGCTTTCTTGCATTTAAAAGTCGTCGTGCAGTCCTTGGTTCAAAAACCCTGTTTTAAATGAATCGTAATTCGTTGACTAAAGGAGCTGAATGATCCAATGAATCGCTCTAGCAGCTATCTTGCTCAATTCGGTCTTGAGTTTCATTATTTCCCTTTCTTTCTCTCTCTGTCTCTCTCTCTCCCTCTCTGTCTCTTTTCACTTCACTTTTTTAGTTCTCTCCCTTTCTCTCTATCGCTCTCTCACTCTTTCTCCCGTTCTATCTCACCATGTCATCAGCTTCTACTACCCATCTCAATTTTTCATTCTTCCAGCCATAGTCAAAATTTCATATTACTTGACATTAATTTAAACATATTAAAAATAAGTTTTAAAACACAAAAAAATTAATAATGCAAATCATTAACAATGTGTACATAAATATATTAAATAAGACACAAATGTAAATATATTTCATAGCAAATACTCTTGCTACTTGTTTACCTGTACGGTACAGGTATAGGTATAAGTATAGGTATAGGCATAGGTATAGGTATAGGTATAGGTATACCTATACACTTATATATTAATACTCACCGTATATATTTTGAGTTTCGCTGGCTGTTAAAATTTTGTGTAGCAACGTGAACTCTCACCGGCACTTAGCACTTAACAGCGATACATCAACAACGATTTAATATATATATTATGATATAATTTTGAGGTGGGATTTACGCAAAATCTTGCACTCAAGTTTTCTTTTGCACATTAAGAATTTTAGTGAACACCCAAAAATAAAAACACATATATGACACTTGAAAAAAAAAAAAAAAGAAATATAAACAAATAGTTTAAGCAGCGCCAAGCCAAAAAAAAAAAAAATTGGTCTTGTGAAAGATTCACGCGTTACTGAGGCCAAAAAAAAAAAAAACGAGCTCGAAAAGAAATATGTATAAAGCACAGCGCAAAAAAAAAAAAAAAGCATGCTTATAAAGTGCCCCGCACCGCCCTGCCCCACCCAAATGACATTGTTACATGCAACGAAAAGAAAGTGACAAAGTATGCGCTTCACTGGCAAAGGCAGCTGAAGTTGAGAGCGAAAGAAAGGCAGAAAGAGAGCAACAAAGCGAGAGAGAGTGAGAGAGAGAGAAAGAAAGAGAGAGATAGAGAGCGAGAGGGAGGGCGGTAGCAGTGCAAAGCAATTGCGAATAACATTGGAGATTGAAACGGAAGCAACGACGAAAATCAAGTGAAGCCAATCGAACTACCAGCACGAGCTGCCATTACCATTTACTCAGTGAAGGGCTGCAGAGCATGCATACTGGACTGAAGCACACCGCGCGTCACACAAATAGGGCACTAAAAGCAAATATGGAATTAAACATTGGGCTTATTAGCCCTTGTTGCAATATGTTAATACACAATAACAAATAAATATTTGTATATACACAAACTCCGTAAATATATAAAGTATATACACAAACATACTTCGTCAACTACTGTAGGAAATTATTTTCGGTGGATGGCACACGATCTACATTAAATATTCCAATATAATATATGTGGTTATGTATGTGATTATACTGACAGTTAAGACTAGGACAATCAGGACTAGGACAGCCAAGAGGAAAGGAATCGAAAACCGCATTATTCAATTTCCATCCTATCAACCATACCATATACATGTATGGAGTTACTTATGTGATCATCTATATGTATATGTATATAGTGAGTCAACTCATCACCCTGATCAAGTGCATATGGAGTACATAAATTTCTACAAGCCACTTTATACCTAGAATTCCATTTTGATGGGTTCATAGAACTGTATAAAACATTACTGTCAATATGTACACATGTCAGTCTTGGGTGAATTTAGTCACTCCATTATAGCTTTACACTTTTTCAATAGCGTTCTCTATGGGATTCCCAATGTGCTCTAAGCTGTCCATTAGGAAATTAAAAAGAAACGAATTCACATACATAGTTGGATAACCAATATATACCAATAAAATGAGATCTCACTGTACGGTTGTTTGACCTTCTCTCTCTCAATTTATCTTTCATTCTCTCTCTCACCCTGACACTTTCTCTCGCCCTCTTGATCCTCCATTCTATGGAGGTTCTCAGCCTTACACGAGGAGACAACCATAAAAAAAGAAGAGATCTGACCAATTTTACAATATCACATCATAGCAATACGACATATTTTGTACTCGTGCTTTACATCGTATTCATCGTAGTATTAGTATCGTGTACTCACGCCACTTAAGCTGCCCAACGAGGGGAGTCATTGCCCGATTCCCCGTAAGCGCGCTTAGATATAACATAGTAGATAGACAAATAGAGTCTCTCATCTCGAGCCTGAGCATTCAAATGTCATTAAAGTTTCGCGCACTTTATAATCATTTTAGAGTCCAATGACTGCTGTCTGGGGAATAAAGTTCAGTTCCTGACTTCACCCAACCTGATGTTGGGGAGGGCGAGGTGTCAGAGCAGATGGCTGGTCTCGAATATCGCGGTTCTGTTGAGCCAAAAAGCTTATTTAACCGAGCAATTAACTAAACGAGGAGCACACGAAAGCTCAAGCCGCATGCTCGCAAAGGAAATGTTAAATTGCTCACGGCGTATGTATTTGCCGCATAATGACTACAGACCCTTTCGATCTCGCTTAGTTTTTGCTTAATTGCAGCAGTGAGAGTGAATTTCACTTGAGCGTAACAGACATTTCACTTAACATTAATGTTGGAGAGAATAGCTTAGAGCGGCTCGAGTCGGCGTCTTCTTACATAATCCACTCAACTGGCCAGCTACCCAAGCAGTCCAAGCTCTCCAAGCTGTCCCAGTCGTCACGGCTTACGCACATCCCATGCCAGCTAAGAGCCCGGCCAACACATCTATCTTCTGCTCGAATAGTGCTTTACGCTTTCTTGGCTGCCCAAGTGAGCGACCATTTACTTTGCGGTATTGCCTTATCAACACGATTACGATAGCCATGCAAATCTAACGGCAGATCTAACTCTTTATTTCTTATGAACTACTTATCCGAAATACACAAAAAAAAAAAAAAAAAAAGTTTTTAATGCGCTAAATGTAGATGGGACTGGCCAAAAAAAAAAAAAAAGATCGGCCTTCGGCTGGCTTCATGTGATGGCTGCAAAAAAAAAAAAAAACCGTGGAGGCATGTGACGCCCCGCCCGAGGCACCCAGCGACGCATTCAGCAGCAGGCCCAGAGCACTGCTGACCAGGTGAGAGGCGATCTGCTTGATGAACCCGTTGGAGTCGAAGCCAACCGAGCCTTGGGCTTCCTTTTTCTTCTGGCGCGGCAGCTCGGCGCTGCCGTGACGCTCCTCCGAGGCCTCGGGCGGTCGCAGTTTCGATTCCAGGAAGGCGCTCAGGAAGTTTTTGGTAAATGTGAGTGGCTGCGGGAGTCCTTCGTCGTCGGGATCCTGCAAAGACAACCAAAATGAACCTTTAGCCAACACGATTCACTCACAATCCGTCAGCTCGACAAGGTTAGTAGCACAAACACAACACAAATAACATAAAAAGGCTTAAGTACTGCGCTCAGCGAGGCCAGAACGGTTCCCACAAAGTTGCCCAGAAACTGTCCATTGTTAATCTGTAACTCGCAAAAGAAACAGTCGTCAGAGGGGGTCATTCAGGAGCACGCCGCAAACATACCGCACCGCCTCCGCCAGACAGACCATCGAAGGCCGTGCCCACGTACTGGCCCAGGACCGTGCCAAAGTTCTTGTCGCCCGCCAGCAGGCCGGAGATGAGCGATGTCGCCGTGCTGATCAGCGAGTCGATGTCCAGGCCGCCCGGCTGCAGCAGGAAGAGAAAAAGAAACTTGAGCATAACCGAGCTGCCCCTGCACCCCTATGTCGCCCGAAGCTTACGCCGAAGAGCGTCGAAACGAGGCCCGTGAGTGCGCCAATCAGGGCGCCCACGTCCGAGCCGCCCTCGCCCTGCATGGAACGATAGTTGTTGGTATTAATCGTATTGCTCGTGGTATTAAGCGTCTACTCACGCCACTTAAGCTGCCGATGATGCCAACGAGGCCGCCGCCCCCACCGCCGCCTCCATCCGGGCCGTCACCGTCGCCGCCGAGCTCTGGCGAGCCGATTTCATCTTCCTGCTTGGCATTGGTTGGGACTTTCGCCTTAGCTGTAATATTCCGCGACTTCATACGCGCATTAATGAGCAATTATTCAACTCTTTGGCAGAGATGGAGGTTTTTAGTTCAATAAATTAACGCGTTAGTTTTGTTAGCCAGTCAAGTTTAGACCTGAGGAACGACTACCGGATGGCATAAGGGATATGTGGATTGCTTAAAGTAGGTTTTTTGCTGTACCAGATAAATAAATCTGGTTCAAGCAGGGGGAATTGAACATTCCTATTATAATTATATCTGGCTAGTCAGGTCCAGTAGACTAGTGAGCTTATTCAAGTTAGTCACACCATAAAACTAGCAATCAGTCCAGTAATACTCAAACACTCACAGCATTTTCCAGCTCATCGAACTCGTTTTCCGACTGCGCTGCGCTATTGCCATCATCGCTCTTCTCGAAACGCTGCACCACCAAGTTCTCCCGGAAGTCGTCCTGCAAAAGGATTGCAATGAGCGAATGAGCGAACTCAGCACAAAGGCAGCTCACCTCCATCAATTTGGCCTTGTCCTCGAGCATAGCTTCGATCTGGTCCTTTATGTTATCGGGACTCTTCGCCTCGTCGACTGCCCGCTTGTGTAGGACCTTGTGACTCGCCCTGTCCAGTGGGCCACCGGCTGTGGCATGCTTCAGCAGGTAGTGCAGGGTGCGCTCTATTTTCGTCTCCAGCTCCGTCTTCATCTGAGGCACCTGCTCCAGTATGTGGCAACGCAGCTGCCCCAGTCGCCTGCCCACCTCCTGCTGCTCCTCGCCGAGCAGCGCCTGGAGCTGCAGCTGCTGTTGCTGCTGTTGCTCCTTGAGCAGGCTGTGAACTTCCCGGCGGAACTGCTGCTCGTCCTTATCATCGCACAGCACGTCCATGACGCTGCCCAGGATTTTGAGTGCTTGCTGGTCGCGGGACATTTGCTGCTCGATCGCATCGATCCTTGGCAATATGTCATTGTCCGGCTCGGCCTCGGTCTGCCGCAGCAGCTCCTTGATGGCCTGCACCAGATGCTGCTCCATTTGCTCCTTGGTCTGGCGGGCACCGTTCAGCAGTCCCAGCCCCGTCAAGGCGCGCAGCTCCTCCGGCGGCAGGCTGCGCTCCAGCCTCCTATAGGCGTTGATCGCGCGCACCAATTGCGCTTGCAGCTTCACTCCGCCAGGCCGGGCGTTGGTGCTGCTCCAGGAGCAGGCGCAGATTAGCAAAACCAACAGCAGCGCCTGCAGCTGCCCCGTGTTGTTCATGGCTTGGTCGCTTCACTAAAACAACGCCCAGCAGTACTCTGCACTTTATATATGACTGAACTGTCCATCGTAGATGTCATCCATTGCGTTCCGATCCGATCCCTCGATCGCTACAGCTCTGCAAGCTAAATGGTTTTCCGCTTAGTCGCATGTGGGCGTGCCAGCGCCTTCTCCTCCTCCTCCTCCTCCTCCTCTTCGACTCCACCCACCCTCGCTTCACTGCACATTTTCTTACATTGGCTAATCGTGTATGGGTAAAGCAACAGAAATATTTATACACAAATAAGACATAACTGAGATACAGATATAAACATTATATTTCTATATCTGAGTTATGTCTTTTGTTGTCCAGTGATCCATGTCCACATTCGATTGCCCAACTGAATCATGGTATGCAAATTTCCTCAAGTAATATTGGAGATCGAACAACCTCGGAGATTGCTTAGGATAGGCGGGTGTACAAAGGTCGGAGCAATTCTAGAAGTGTCAGCATTAGCCGCGATACTCCACTCAAATGTGAGCTCAAATATCGCAATTATACGCTGGCTGCGACTGTCTCCGCTCCATGTCACCTCTTGGCCTGCAGTAAACGAGCCAGCGCATCTACTTATGGCAGCAATCTTAATATGCCACTCCAGATAGCCGGTCATTAGACTGTAGCCACTGCCAGTCAACGTCTGGACCCAACAATTAGTATTTGGCTGTCAATCAATCTACATAAATAACATACATACGTGTATGTATATGACACTAATTGTACAGCATGATCTGCATCTGTCGCAATCTCATTCACAGAGCTGTGAGGCGAATACTACAAATTGAAAACCTGTAACTCGAATGGTCTAGTTGAGACTAGTCGACTACGGGATCCCCTGAATCCATCTTCGTTTCTCTTCTGCCTACTCAAGAAACAGAGGCAATGGATAATAACGAGAATCGAAATTCTATAAAATAAACACGAGTCTATATTTACAATTTTGAGACTCTAGCATTAAAGATGTAGGGGATATGATTTAATAACCGATTTTCGATCAGCTTTTTAATCGATACCAAAACTCCGGGAGCCGTTATCGATGTTTTGCTATTATATCATTTGAGATCGACGCGTTCACACACATGGAGAGACGGACAGACGCACAGGCGGACGGACGGACAGCTCGTCCCCCTGATCCAGAATATACATACTTTGTGGGGTCTGCCACGCCTCCTTTTGCCTGTTGCATACATTTACGAAAACCATTGTACCCTGATTTCCCAGTCGACTACAAGATCCCCTAAACCCTACCAAGAGTCGAATTCCAATCAACCAATCAACACAGACACATGGATACACACGCATAAGCATGCTCCTCCCTTTTGCCTCATACATACGTTTTCACAAAAACATTATACCCTCTTTTCTCGTTTTCAATGAGTTCGAGGTATAATGAATTTATAGCTAGTAGACGTAATAATATAGCTTTCTGTACCTATAGCACTAATTCGAATTGAAATTGATAACTAAATAAATTGCAGAATACACCAAGAAACCAAGAATGACTGAGGATCAGTGCAGTCAGAAGATCATTGCAATCTCAAAATTTCCTTTGACTATCTAAAGGTCATAGTCCAGATAAAGGGCGAATTGATTCTACATTTGAGTATTTTAAATAAAAATATTAATTTTAAATGATTATTTAGAACTGTTTTCAAACCAAATTTCTGCCCTCACTTACAGATCGTTATGTGCAGATCTACATATATAAGTTAAGACTTTCGACAATCTAAGGAGGCTGGAGAATCCAGTCAGACATTCAAGGGGAGAACCTAACCAGTTGAACAGATTTAGTTCAGTTTATATTCGGACCAGACACAGTTCAGACCTATTGTTCCAAATTATATCAAATATATTATTTCATCGAACACCAAGTTGTTATATATTCACAAGAACCCAACACAGCGTCCCCAATCACTAGTACTCTAGTGTGGGTGCGCTTAACTTATATA